GGACAGTGCACTGAAAGCCTTTTGCATCCGGTGAAATTGAATCAATTGAGCATCGTCAAGTTTCCTAAATATATTTTCTTCATTTCTTTTTATTAAATGTGATACGATTTCCAGGAAGGGGGAAATGATCAATCAAAGGACTGCTATACAACACAGACAGAATAGGGGGTCAGGTGGACAGAATGGGATTCGAATACACACCGTGTACTCCCTGTACATAACCAACACCGCCGATTCGTCCAGGAGCTCAGTATATAGGACTGAAATAGGACCAAATCGTACCGAGTTTAAGGATCCCACGCAGCGGCTCTTGTGAGCCAGGGACCAAGACACTCATAGCCTTTATTGAAATATATGTTCAGTTTTTTATGATTATTGTGTATTTTCTTTTCATGATAAAGTTGGCAGATTCGACTGTTTTTTATTTCAGTCTGGTCGATGTGTCTAGTGGTTGGAACAGGCAAGTTACAAAACCGAGGATGTTCACGAAGCAGATATTGCCCAGGAATTTTCAAGCGACATAACAACAACAACAACAACAACAGTAAAAAGCGCTCACACTTCATTTTCAAACCACACAGCACAACGTCACACTCAATCAATGATAGTCATCACATCAGACCATATTTCTTAGCTCTCCGCATTACTACTGTATTACCCGAGAACGAATTTGATGCTATTTTTTTAACTGTCACTCTTTGAAATCTGTTTGGTACAGATTAGGACGCAATTGTTCTCGCCCGGATACGGGGTCGTTAAACGATTACGGTTGAAATGGCCCGTATGCCATCCGTAGTGTCCACGTGATATCAATCACTGTAGCCAATCCCGGGTAGACCATAGTGAAAATGTTCACATTAGGTCAGTGATTTGAATCGTTATAAGTCTGGTGGATATATAACCATCCAAGGTGCATAGTGTCCAGGGATGAAAGGCTATACAAACTTTTCAGTACTGTATATGGCAAATCAGTACTGCATACCGAATTACTATCGGAATCTTACTGAATCCTCTTTTATCAAAATATATGCAAATTTTAGCTTGTATACGAATACATCAACGGAAATCCCTCGCCCCGGGTATTTTCTTTTTGGTCCTCTCGTGGAACAGAAAGAGCATTTTGTTCTTCCAATAATGGTCCTCAATTCGACCAAAACCTGATTAAAGTTTCGCAGACTGGATGGAAGGAACTGGGTCGGTCAATAACTTGGCCAAACAAGAGTGCTATTTTAGTCCGGTAAATAATAATGATGATAATACAAACGAGAAAAATGTGATACAAATCTGATGTGTGTCCACTGGGCAATTGTGTGTTGTGTTTTTCCCCCAATCCTGTTTATTTTTTTGGCTATATCAGCTGTCATATTCAAGGTCATGCCGGTGATAAAATGCTTGCTAATATGACAACTGGATTGATTTGAAAAACTGTTGCTTCTCTCTCTCTCTGTCTCCGGTCCCAAACGGACAATCGATCTGGTTGGGGTGGGGTGGAGTGGGGCGGGAGTGAAAAATCCGGTAAAATTGCCATTTTTGATACGGTTTCATACAGTTCTGACCGATTGCGATGCACTAAAATATTTTCTCTCTGATCAAATTGAGTTTCATTATATTTATCACCTATATTATTGTTTTAGGTATGGATAATAATTTATCTCTTATCCACTACGATCTACGTAGTTTCTAGGCTGCATGATTGTCAATTAAACGTGCCTGACCTTGCGTGCCAAGCTAAAATAATCTTAACATGAAAATCGCAAACTCTATCAACTATTAAAACGCAATATACTCTAATAGGAGTGACTCAAGAATTACCTCAAATTATTTCCATAAACCCTTGCTGTTGCGGTTATTTGTTATGAGGCATTATTTTATCCAATATTTAATCCATTGTAGTGACTCTATTGAACAAGCAAATAAAATTCTTTCACAACCCGGAGAAATTGCATTAAATAAGGTTTCATAATAATAATCCATGTTTGTTAGCTAACTCACTGAATAGTGGGAAATTTGTATCACTAATGACGAAAATCTTTCCCGAATTTCGTGAAAAACAATCGTCTGGAAAAGTTACGTTTTTCAGGTTACGTTCCGTGTCATGTTTCACCAAAGGTTAGTAAATTTATTTAGTTAAGGAGTCTTGTTCAGTTATTATTTGCTTTCAGACTTCAGAAAAGATGCGTGACTCTAAATCCCAGTTTATACAACTTCTCCCTAATAGCCCGGATCTCAGTGTGATTGAAAATCTGTTTTCTGTTTTGCAGAGAGAGGTCAATGTGCTATCTATACGTTGGACATTGGAGGCAAAAGTGCGATACGTAATGGAGTACAAAATAGAAAATGACTTCATAACAAAGTTGGTGGGTTCGATGCCAAAGAGACTCGAAAACGTCATAAAGAACAAAGGCAGACCAATCGACTATTGGCGTACACAAACCTTACATCTTAATTAATATCAGTCTTAATTTGTTGTAAATAAAATTAATCTATTCTCTTTAATTAGCTCTTAACTCATGGTCTAGGTCAACTACTACTGATGAAATGGGAGTATCCCCTATATTCTGAACCATTCCATCTGCTGACTATAAACGAATCACGAAAACCACTGCCATAAAGACTCACCAAGGCATTTTATCATTACTACTTCAGTATAAATGCTTTTACCTATACGAACCCACAAGTGTTTCACATGGACTCGGTACTTCAGTTTCGCTTGGACCTGTAGACTGGGACTGTCTATAGCTGAAGAATGCAATACTGGTACAGTGTTGGTCAAACATGTGAGAAGAACCCCACACTCAAACATGTACCCGATCAAACATACAAAAATCGAAAAAGCGTATCTAGAAACTACGTCAGCATCTTCTGAGCACACACAATTTACTATTAGTAACGAAAGATCCCTTGAAAATGTGAACCCTATCGGTTGCAGGCACTTACCTCATTTGTGTCGGATTGTCATTTTGAAAGTTTTGATTAGTCTCCGTTGAGGTGATTCTCGTAACGTTTAATGTAAATGGTATCTGATAGTCTCAAGGGCTAGGGAGTACAGTAAAAGTGATATGCGACAGTTTGTATCACTAGATGATATCTTTTGGGCGGTGTCTTTCTCCCAGATAAATGCGTTGATGCGTTTCTTTGCTGCGGCATCAACCGGTCAGGCAATATCGGAAGGCTGTTTGTGGTCTCTTTGGAATCAAATAAATCTGCGTACTCCGTATCGGACCTCCTACTAACTTGTTATTTCGATATACTCGTTCTGTATACATAGATATATATATGTATACGTGTGTGTGTCTGTGTGTGTGTCTGTGTGTGTCTGTCTGTGTGTCTGTGTGTGTGTCTGTGTGTGTGTGTTTGTGTGTGTGTCTGTGTGTGTGTGTGTGAACCCATGTCCCTCCCGACCTGCTGAGTATCATCCGTCTACGATTCCTCAGTGAAACTTTGGCTCATCACTTCACAAGATATCAGCCCACCTATACTCCGCGGTGGTGACATCGAAGCATCACCAACTTATGATGAGTCCTAAGATATCAGTCAGTCGGGCATACAAAGAAACTTCAATGACCGTCGTGTTTTCGCAACCCAGTTGTTCAATAAACATCTCAGTGTATACACTGGGATAGACACAATACTGTTTCAGAGATAATCAGGTTATCTTTCACAGATATCTGCATCTCTGTTCTTCTTTGTAGTCTTTCGTTTACTGTGGAAGTTGATGATGTTGTTGTTGTTGTTGCTGGTGATTGTGGTGGTTGTGGTGTTGTTGTTGTTGTTGGTGGTGGTGGTGGTGGTGGTGGTGGTGGTGCTATGTATCCAACTGCACTTAGAACACTCAATATAGGTGTGTATGATACACCTATGCGCGTCACTTCCCAACATGTGTTCTTTCAAGAGCGTGTTCATTCAGCTCGACAGTAAAACAACGAGCGCTAATATGAGTGCATCCATAAAGTATGGTTAACTGAATGAGATGAAGTTTGCATTTGTGTGTGCGTGTGTGTGTGAAGAGTTTGAAAGCTGGTAGTTCCAAGTCCAAATTACAACAAAATTGGTTGATCTCAACCTCTTGGTAGTAGGTGGGTGATGGGGGCCTGTCGAAATCTGACCCACGAAAAATTTAAAGCAGCAATATTTGTTGACATGCATTTCACACTCCATAGTCACACAATCCTCAACTCATCCAGTTAACCGTACGCTCGGGAATCACTAAACTTCCTGGAACCCATTGTCAATGGAAATCCACCGTCACGTCCGGGTTTCGAATTCCGAAACCCATCGGGCCTGGAAGATGTGTGTGAGTGTTACCACTGTTTCAACTATCTCACACCGGGGCTGCCCCGACTTGTCAATTTGTTTGCAAGCGTTTTTCAATACCGGCCTGAGATGACTTCGTCCTCACGTCCCAGGCACTGAGAGTGTCACCTCGATGAACCGGTGAAATGGAATTCACCAACAGCTAAGGGAACCGATTTTCAATGCTTTGTCAACAGTCAACAGTAATCGGCCCGATAGCAACGAAAAGAGATACAGTCACCATCGAATAACTGCAATCCGGTCTCGTGCGCTTCCCGAGTGTACGGTTGACCGGAAGAATTGATGCGCACGGGTGTTGATCAAACACGTGCAACATGACTCTAATTTTGGAAATACATTTCATTCTCCAATATCATACTTGTATATCGATAGCTATGGGTAAAGTATATTTATTCCTGACTTTATCTCCCACTTCAGTGTTCTTAGTACTTTCTATCACCGTTTAAAATTTGCGCAAACTTGAGTGTTGCGATGAAAATTTGTAGTAGTACTAAAGTTACAGCTGAGATTAAAAAAATATTTTATGCGAAGCAATTATTCAGTTTCTAGAGGGGTCAAGTCCACTGTCAAATTCATTCATTTACCACCTAACAGATGGAAGTTGAATGTTATCGTAAACGATATCCTGTCCCAGACACAGTTGGCTGCCTCAGCAGTGGTTGTCAGCGATTAGGGTGCAGCATGTATTATTAGAGCGAAGTGACAAATTCTGTTGCACAGTCAACTTGGTGGGACTCCATGCAAAGGTGACTACCTCCAGTACCCACAAACAAAGAAGGGCAAATAGAACATGAAAGAGATGAAGCTACATTACCTGTATTCAGTCATTTTGTTGAATAAATTATATTTGTGTTTCATACCGTGGCTGTTATTTTACAACTGATGCACCAGCAACCGTTGTAAAAATCGAGAGATCGTACATTTTAATAGTATTCGACCAATAGCGGCAAAGACATAAGTGGAAATTATATCAGCTATGTTGCGTCTGATGTGGGGCAATATCCTATTCATTCCCGTGAATGAGGCTGGGAACACTAAGCGTTGGGCGGGGGGAACATATGTGATGACAGTCGAGTTTGATCAACATTTGTATTTATCCGAAACCATTGCTCACAAGTAATTGTGAACTGAATGCAAACATGTCTACTGGCACCGACACACAGGCTGAACTACCCGAACACTTCACTGAGTTGCATATGGAGAAATTGGTCGGAATCGGACAGAGCGAACTCGGACGTGGACTGAAAACCCAATGAATAGAGTAGAGTTAGGTAGAACCAAGACGATCTGTGGATGCAGTTAGTATCAGCAATGTCAAACAATCCTTGGTCCATTTTTTTGATGTCCAATCGAGAACCATTTGATTGCTTCCGTAGATTCAACCAATCCGATTAGTGCTACTTGAGACCACAAAATTGGTAGGGAATTCCGTCTCCTGATTGGCTATCTGGTAGCCGTATTGTGGTGCGTGCGTATTCGTTGCACAATCCCCACCGGTTTGTCCATTTCGCCGTATCGATGTCCATTCACGAATCCCAATCAATTTACTTTTATCATCCGCTACGACTGAAACAAGAACTGACCTGGTTCCCTCTTTTCGGCATCATTAGTTACAATGAAGCTGGGGCAAGGAGAATAATTCCTACGCGCCCTGTCTCAATCAGCAAGAAATCGTTCGGATTTGACGAATTTCAACAGTTCCATCTTGTCTGCCCCCATGTAAACAGTATATCAAAAGTCCGTTTTGAGACTTGATCAAACAATGAAAACTGGTTAGCATAAGTCGCTCGGATTGACTGAATTATTTTTCGTCTGTTTGCGTTTCTGGGCGAGTCGATTAGGAACGTGCGTCTTTACCATTTGAGGTGATATCCGCAGTGGTGTGTCAATGTGCAGATTTGTTCCCTTCCCGTGCATTTTATTCTAATCGGAGATCGGGCTAGCTCGATTGGAGATTGTTTTTTGCGGCCACTTTGACTGGTCCTTTAGCCCGTTGTTACATGATGGGGTGGCACCTCATTGAGTTTCATCGATTCGCACATGTAACCTAATTCCACGTACCTATTCACTGACTCCCTCGAATGATATCAAAACTCGGTAGATTCGGGGATCTATTTTAACCGACCTTGATCAATGTTTCTTTCTTTTTATTCACCGAGCGAAATTAGTAAGAGAGGATAACATATAGCCTAACTGTTTATCGGTGTACACAAGGCTGTGATTCGTCCGATGGTGCTTCGAGAAGTCCTCCCAGGATGTTTTTTGCATAAATAATGCTGTACTTGTCTTCTTCCATTTTCCTCTCCTTTGGTTTCAGAAGAACTTTCTGTGGACGATCAGTTGTGACCTGGATTCTGTATGATAAAAAACTATAAATCGTCATCGGTTTCATGAAAATTTCGATCTCTGCCCACATCTGCTTTCAGGGTCTCTCAATCTATTCTGGTTGTTGTTCGTGATTTCCGACAAAGAGTAAAGAGCAGCTGTTTCGTCCTGTTTGGGACTCGTAGCGGTACCTACTTTTTGTGTCCCTGACAGGACTCGACCGCAAATTTTCGGGTTGGGACTTCAAACCCTTAGCCCTGATCTATACATAGCCGACAGTCATCACCTTGTGTGAATGGCTTGATCAATTTAGAGTATCAAGCTTGGATTAGTCCATTCGGTTGTTCAGAAACACCAGGCACCCTTGATGGTCTTGAGTATGGGTTTCACTCATTGGGAGGACGAAACAGGACGAAACAGCTGTCTAGTGCTCTTTGTTGGTTATCACAAATAATTCCACTGCATTTGAACGCAAAAATCTCGTGGGGAATTAACAATCTCCCAAGGAGTGAAACCCATACCGAAGACCATCAAGAGTGCCTGGTGCTTCTGAACAATCGAATGGGCTAATCCAAGCTTGCTACTCTATATTCTGGTCGTTCTCTCCATGAGTGGATATGAAACAATTTTAATGTCTTTCGTTGTGATTTACAGCTGGCTGCTAACCGGGATAGAAAATTTCGTGATCGGCATGATGTACATCGCTTATGATATGCATTAACAGTGGTAGGCTCAAACACACACGCAAACAAATCAGATATTTTCTGATATCAAGCGAGAGTCACGAAAACTCGGTCGCGGGTTAATAGTCCCATTTCACCCGCAGCTACACTCCATGCCTTGTGTCCCTGACAAATAAATAAAAACTTACTCACCCGGTTCAATTTCACCTATTTTCAAGTAAAGATGATTCAGCATCGCAATCATAAGATACTTGTGCATCGTGGTTTCCAAAAGGTATGAATGGATAAGCTTGGTGGCACACAATCACCTTACTTCAACATCCATTCTCAAATGTGGAACAGTCCGTGCATGCTTATGATTGGAGCAGCAGGCAGCGACCAATCAGAGAAGAACAAAGGGAATAAAACCTGTAGGCTGGGGTTCGAACTACGGGATATGGGATTACACACATGTACACCACTCATCTACCGCAGCGATTTTGCTTGGAATGCCTTGAGATTCTATAAATGTACTTCATCACACAGGTCACACAGTGGTTACATTTGACGGAAATTTGGAAACTGTAAGTTGACGCCTTGTTCAAAACGATAATTTTCCTAAATTTGGGATTCCGTTCGACAAATCAAAAAGTAGAATTAAGTGGGATTTTAAACAGTATTTACTTAACTCAGTCAAATATGTGGTGCTATCCGGAGGATTTCTAATGCATATCTCTCCAATAAGTGAATTTGATCCCAGATTTCACTCGTTCATATAAAATTTTGGGAGGATTTTCCAAGAAGCATTCAAATTGACCTATTGTAATACATTTCTTTGTTGAAAAGTTATTTCATTGTTGCAGTCTGCAGGTTTTCCCATGAGTGTAAATTACCTCTGTAGGTCGAGGGTACTATGTTGACTCCGAACCTGAAGGTTCACTGTTCGAGTCCTGGCCGGGTAGCAGTGCTAATAAAATAAGTAATAAATGATTTTACTTCCTTATTTTGTGTTTACTGGGCCCATAAATGTACAGTCTACTTTCCGGAAGGGAGCCTTGACCGCTATTTGGGAAAATATACAAATGGGGAAGATGAGCAGAGTTGTTGGGATTCGAACTTAGGACTTCCGACTCGCTATCTTGATGGCCGTAACTTTTCAATGACCGTCTCTACACAATAAGCGCGAAATAGATACCCACTGATCTTAGTCAATCATCGCATCACTTCACATCAGAACAATACAAATTTGTCTTCGAATTCCCATTATTATTATTGTTATTATTATTATTACTATTATTGGAGAAATCTCAAATTTTGTATATCTGTTCTCATAGAACCTCATCATCTCATCGGCCGTTAGTTTTGCCTTTTGTGGATTTTTTATATAAGCAAACTAATAATGCCCATCAGCTGCCCGGCAACCTTGTGGGTAGCATGCTTACGTTCTGCCTGTGGGGTCCCGGGTTTAATCACCAGTCGGGTCGATGGATTCGCACTGCTGATTAGGTGGAATCAGTACCTCCTCGCTTTTCAGATCACGCTTCACGTGCCAGTTACATGACGCATTCCCCTTTTGAAATTTGATTAAATCCTCCATTACTCCCATGCAATAATACA